ATATGCCCTTTCTATTATATCGTTATTTGACATTATAGTTAAACAAAAAACTGCTTTTTTCAAATTACTGGAAAAAGCCGAAAAATTTTCGATTTTTTCCGAAAAATTGTTTTTTTTAATTGCTATTTTTGCTATATAAATGACATAATACTTAACTTTTAACGTCCTTCATCAAATTAATGTGATCCATGAAATTATGTAATTTTATTTTTATTAAAGTTTTTAATTATCTTTCTATTTTTATAGTAAAACCTAATCTAACCTTCGTTTAATGCATGACAAAGTAGACGACTGCGCAAGTGGTTATTATGATGTGGCATGGTGCTTTTTGCAGTGTAGTACAGGAATAAAAAAATAGATTTTACACGCAGCGAAAAGATTAGCCAATGCAGCTAAAATATAGCTGTGACAGTTAAAATGTGTTCTTATAATAAGGACAGCTAATATCGTTGTTGCGAGAAAGCTCAATTTATTATCTGCTAAAATTTAGGTGCTGCAGCGAAAAATATTCTCTGCTAGAATAAAATGGCAACCGGCAGCGTCTCAGAAACAATTGCGAGTGAAATGTTCGGTTATGCGGCTAAAATAGTGAGGAATAGCTGCCACTTACTCAGCTATTCATGTTAAGTGCGCTTTTAATTTTAACTAATAAACTTGAACGTCGGCAGCAAATATTATTTATTATATAAATAATATTATATGTATTTTTTTTATCTTCAATAGCCAACTTTTAGCAGTAGTAGCAAATTTAAGTTTAAACCAGCAACTGATATTTAGTTGATCTTATAAAGCTCTTTTTTTGTGTATAATTATTTGCGTTGCCCTTAAAATTGTTGTACTTAAAACGGAATAGATATATATTCGAGCGTTGAAAAGAAAAGAAAGCGAAGATACCGAGTGAGGAGAATATCTGAGCGATTAAAAATGAATGTATGTTTATAAAGATGTAGTCATTAACTCTTGAAATTGCGAGTAAGGATAAATTTTTAAAAAACTTTGTAATTCTTTTTATTCTAAAGACTTTATGTGATTGGTTTTAATTTGCTCGGTGCAATAAAATATGTTTTGTATGTTTTATACATGTTTGATAGAATACACTATACAACTTTATAATCTTTAATACAATTTCAAAATTTCTGTTAACTTATATAAATTATCCTGCTAACAGGGTTATACTCTATAGACAATTATTTTCTTTACAAAAAGAATCGAGAAATAAATATGGCATTTACGAATACGCATGAATTTTTCCAATGATTTTTTCTATCCTTGGAAAAAAACGAAAAGCTCTGCGGAAAAATGGGAAAAATTCGGTTTTTCTCCGATTTGAAAAAATTATATTTGACATTAAGAGTCCTTGATTTCGATTAATTTAAATAAATTAATTTCAATTAAATTTTTATGTATATTAACATATATACTCGATAAAGTTATATTCTTCAAATAACCTTTTGACAAATTATAGATTTATTTTATTTTCGTATCGGTTAAGAGTCGATTTTCGAACAGCCAAATGGACCAATCATTCTCTCTGAGCTCGCGTTGCAGTAATTTAGCGAAAAGAGAAACCTGCGTCATTCGTGAAAAACGTGTTTCTCGTACATGACGTTCGTGAGATCACCGTCGATCGATGTACTGGCGATGTGCGTGAACACGGCACAGCACGGCACGGTATATCCTTGTTTCCACAACACAGCTCTTCGCCAGGACGAGACGGCGCGATACCGGGAAATTTTACACCCAGCGTCCGTGTCGCACGGACATCTTGTTTGGCGGATCCATCTGTAGCCCGGAGCACGTGTTCGCGTTTTCGCAAGCCGTAACCGTATATCATCGAACCCAGGACGATGTTATAGATACGTAATACCTTCCCGTGTAACGGATCGAGATACATACACGGCGTTCGACTTTCGTTGCGACCGATCGTTGTATTACCGATGAGAGACCACTAAGAAGGCAGCTCTATATAACCCCTGCGAGTTCTATAAGCCATTTTTTTCCTTAATGCTAGATATTATTGTGTTTTTCGAGCGAATTTTTCATCTGTATGGTTGAAAGTTTGAATAACGCGGAAATGGAAAAATAAATAGCTCAAAGAGAAACCCTTTTAAAACACAATATTATTTAAAATATATTTAAAATTCAATGAGAACAGTGTTATAGTACGTTCTTATAACATGTAACTTTTTAATATAAATATAACGTAGCTTTTAATAATATTTATTAACAATGGGGGGGGAGAATATTCATCAATAATCTGCATTCGTTTCGTTGTTAGGTGCTTCCATAAATAGGTATTAATAATTTAAAATTTAAAAAGTGATAATAGTTTTATGGATGAATGCAAATGTTATAGTAAGATAAAGAGGTTTGATAAGATGTAGAGTCCATTTCCTTACGATCGTCATTTCGCACTTTGAGAACTTCTCCTTCCTTGGGCGCTTTATGGGTGTACAAAGCAACTTGTGCGGCCATTAATGTCCGCGGTTAACAACCCGTAGTATAATGTCAATTACACGGTGGTGTGAACTGCAAATTTGCTTCGTCAACGTGACTCTATCTATGATCATTCTATACTTTTTGTTCTCGTAACGATTATGCAAAGAATATACGAATTAAAGGAAACTGATAGAAGAAAGTGAACACGTCATTTATATTTAATATGATATTTCTAACAATTTTATCTATAATGTATAAAAATTTATTATCTATAAGATTTACACAAATAGTACGATTTTCTGAAATATTTAAAAATTTAGTTAATGTACAGATCTGAAAATAATTGTTGGATCTTTAAAATAATTATGTAGAACACTTAAACGTTGATGACAATCTTCCAGAAAGTTTTAACATATTCAGCATTCTAGAAATTTAATTTAAGCGTCTTACAGAATTAATTTAATGATTCTAACAAAATTATTTTCATATCTAGCTAAATTTTTAGATACTTGAGCAACATTCTTTTCGTGCAGACTAATCTATTTTTAATCTTGAAAATCAAGAATAGATGAAAAAAGAACCGTTTTAATATCTTGTGATTAACAATTCCGATTTTGCTATGAAGTAATTATTCAATACGTAATTGAGAAATAATAATACTTCGATATTTCGTAATAATGATAATAGAACGTGACGACCGTCTTGTTTGCGTCAATTGAATAATTAGATAAATTTGTGTCGACCAGCCGAGCTTGATTTTCGCTCTTCTGCTTTATCCGCATTTTGCGTCGCCCCGGGTTCGTTCGCTTTTATCCCCGCTTCTCCCTTTTTCTTCCTCTTTCCCTATTTCGCCTGCGGCGGTGCGCACGTAAGTTATCGGTGTCCTGTTACATCCAGTTCCAGTTACACGTGCCGCGGGGCACCGATGCATTCGATATCGTTTCCT